TTACTTGGTCTCATTTTTCTAACTTTCAAATTATCTGAGTGAAATAAACAAAATTTTAAAATGATGAAAAAAGCATAAATCTCAAAGAGTTAACGGGAAATGATGATCAACTCCCTTCAGTTCTGTCAGTTGCATAAAGGGAATGTGAACGCAGTTGTACTTCCTCATTCTTAGTGCAAGTGATATGATGAAATAATAAAGAATTTCAATCATGTACTAAATACCAGAGAGAGGTTTACAATTGCCTGCCATCTAATTTTTTCTTTTCCTTGCTACAAGCACTTCTGTTCTTTGGTCATGTTTATAAATTTTGCATATCTGCATTCTTTGCTCATGTATTGACTTATAAACACTCCAGATTTAACAATTCAAGGTATGAGGGCTGTTAAAATAGACGACCTATTCCAATTATTTTATTTCCATTTCATGTGTTTACCATTATTTCGTAGGTCTGACTTGGGAGAATACCTGAAGATTAATGTTGAAGACACAAAAAAATCACATTATACCCTGAGTTACTTGGAATTTCCTCTGTGTTCTCCTCATGGATTTGTATTTGAGTTTACAGTAGCATTATGGTCATGAGAAGAAAGATTTCAAAACACACTCAAGACTCTTTCCACAAGAAATACAAATTTGAGCATCCTGTCTTTTGGTGGTACATGCAAAAGAAAACCCAAACTACTACAAACAACAAATGGGCAGCAAAACTGAAGCCCTGACATACAAAAAATCTGCAGAACAGATCAGCAAAAATGCAAATTCAACCAAACATTGTTATTAATTTATATGTAAGAACTTTCAGATTTGCAGGAATGAAGTCAGTAGAGACTTTTTTTATTTTTTAGGTAACAGATATGAATTCCCATTAGCTGGGTCTCATTTATTTGTTGTGACACCTAAAAACTCAACTTTGGTTTTGCTGAACAAATTTGAATTTGAGCTACAGAAACATGCCCCCCCACTCAACAAAACCAGCAAAATGACCCCTTCCTATCTGATAATACTTGCAATTATCATACTTCAGATGCTTTTTAAAAGCCAGTGACACTACCTAGGAACTGTGGCCATGACTGTAATGACTGTTCATTAAAACAATCCGCACAATTATAACAACGGGTAACAATGAAAAATTTAGACACACCACACAAACATCTTTAAGAAGGAAGAGTTCACAGAAGAGCCCAAGAAATGTGAAACATAGGAAGGTAATTTTTCTCCTAAAATTCCCTCCTCCTTCCATTACCTCTGATTTTATGGACTTTTAGACCAACACAACTTTTCAAAATGAATTCTACTCCAGGAACAGGACTCCATGTGTTTTGCAGAGAAAGGGAGGACTTTCTAAACACCTTAGACTGGTGTCGCATAGGAAACTTACTGCATATTCCCTTCATCTTGTCAGAAAAAGCAGCACAAAGTGGATTGACTGATGCTCACAGCACACCTTTGATCTCAATGAAAATTTAGCACTCATACTAAAAACTCTCCCATCCTTGAGCCAGTGAAAAGGAGAGGAAAAGTAGACACAATTAAAAAGAAATGCCATAGAAACAAGTCAAAATTATGTTGCTAATCAAGTATTTCCTATGGACATCAGGCAGCTATTAGGTGGTTTGGTGAAAGCTTAGGATGCTTCACAAAAGCCCTTTATCTCCCACAGTGCAAACGAGGTTAATGGACTCATTTTCACTCTGTGATTCACTTCCTCTGTTCTGTTTCTTTGTTTTATGCAGATAATTGGAAACAACTAAGAAACATCATTCTTTAGAGCTTAGTAGGGAAGGGAAGTTCACTTCTTTCCAAAAACACAAATTCGAAGAAGAAAAAGAAGGAAAATAAAACCAGTGGGCAGAAAATAAGTTATACAGGAGGGCAATAGGCAATTAGCACCCATCCTCCCACATTCACACAATCTACAGAAATGGCTCATCTTACACAGCTTCCCCATACTCTTTAGGCTTGAATAAAACATCACTACTGTCTATCCCTTGGGAGGATCTCAGTATTCCTGGGAGATGGCACTGGAGAGGCACAAAGCAAGGGGAAAAAAAAAGATTTTAACAGTACTGAACATAATATTCTCTGACAAAGAAATGAATAATACTCCTATACTTAGTAGTAAATGTACTAGTTACTTTTCTAGTTTTTCAAAACTAGAAAAGTTAGTTCTACAACCAGAAGTCACAAAATATTCTGGTTTCCACATCTCCTTCATTCAAATGCTACTGCATGTGTTGTAAAAATTTGTCTGTGCTAGTCTATGACAAGCATTTTTGAGAAAATATTGTACTGCAGTGTTGAAATGCAACTTCTAAATCTTTTCTTCAGCAAAGACAATAACATTTCCTGTAGTATACATTTGTTGTATTGACACCAGGAAACAGGAAAATAAAGAGGCTTGCTTATTCTGGAAAGGGAAAATTTGGAGAACAAAACACTTGCAAACATATAGTAGCTCCTTCAAAGACAAAGTAGGCCATCAAAGAGTGTTCAGAGCATGCTAGAAATGCTGTACAACCTCTCCAAACAAAAATTCAATGGACTGAGTTTTACTGAGTTTTATCAGTATTTTGAAAGTTCAAGAAATATAGCAGGGGGATTGGATGAAAATCATAAAACTGCTATCTTCAATCTCATCATTTAACTTCTGTATCTACTATATATGTTTATATTTCATAATGCAAAGGTTTAGCAGTGCAAGTATATGTAACTATCATATTCAATTCTTTAGCAAAGAAATCCAGATTCTTTTTCAAAATGAAAACATATAATGACCAAAGAATTAATGATTATTTCTGGCAGCCATCTAGCATTGTGTAGATGGTTACTGCCCTCTGAATTCAAGAAGCTATCACTTCCTAAACAACTAGGTGCATTTGCAGCAAATAAGTGTTTGATGCTTTCTTATCTGAAATTATTCCTAAGGAAATTAATATCTTTGATGACCACCTGGCCCAAATTTTTGAGATTCTCCACTATTCTCCTTCTCTACATTCTCTTGTAAATGTTATTTGTTTAAAGCCATGACTTGGAGTGCTTCTAAAGACAAGTAATGAGGAAAATGTACATTTTCAGGGAACAGAACAAAAATACCTTTGACTTATAAGATGCAGGTCATGAATACAAAGGTTAGGTTTCTAACATGCCTCCAAAAGACTGTCTTAAAGGCTGCAGCCTTTAATGTATTATTTATATATACATAAATAAATAATATACATTTATATAGAAATATTCATGTGGGAACATAATATTATAAATGGGTTCTATAAGTTAAGCTTTCTCAGATTCACAGCTTCTGACAGTTTATGTGAGTAAGCAAAGTGTTGCAAATGCAGATTTTGAAATAAACTTGTGACATGAAGGTAAGGACACCACAGGTTTTTTGACATAACTTTAGAAGACCTTTCTGAGGACAAAAGATACTAAGGAAAAACAAACATCGCATAGTTTGTGTAACAGGACCATGCATTTGCATGAACAGATGTGGGAATGAGACTTCAGGGATTTCATGATTGATTTCCACATCCCACCAGAACAATATCTGCATGCACACTTGTTTTTTATGGAAGAATGGTGGAATTATAAAGTACAGGTCAGCAATGACAAATCAAGCAAATTTCATAGTCCAACTGAAATGACATCAAATCAACCTGACTTTTGACTGAGAAAGGGTACAAAAGCCACCTGGAGAATCTAGACAATCTATCCCTCAAAGAGAGAGAAACAGAGGTAAAAGACATTTCAGAAGAAATCAGTCAATCTCTCTCCAGAAATGTAATAGTGATCTGGGGATTTTACCTATCAAAATTAACAGAATTTAACACTTGATGTATTGTATGCAGCAATTCTTCTCATTGTCTCCTATGTGTGTTTAATAACTTCATTTAATTAGAATATCACAGACTGTTCTGACAAATTGAACATACTATGTCTTGACAACAAAATAATTTTCACACTTTAGCATGTGGAAACTGGCTATACTAAAACTCTTATTTGAGGAAATAGGCTAAAAATACAATATTAGCTGAATTACAGATATTGGAAAATAGGCATGTTACAGCAACAGGAAGTTTAACTCTTGTGACAGACCTTTAATTTGATAACAAAATGAAATGCAAACAACCTTGAAATTACTGTTTTCCCTTTCTATTTAGAGTACTTCATGTAACACTAAATTCTCCATTCCTTGACTACTGTTATGACTATTTATAGTATCACATTTATATTTTATTTTTATTAGACATGCACCTTGTAAGTTTTAAGGAAATCAGTTCTTAACACTGATAAATTCTGCTTTTAAAATTTATGTTCTCTGTCTGAAGAATTCATGCTCAACCTCAAAGGTGTGGCACACTTCAAAAGTGCAACCTGCATTTTTTACAGATCAAAAATATTTTTGACACACAAACAAACTTTAAATATAGAAATTTAAATGCCAGTTTTAGAAATCCAAGACTTTTGATGCCTTTTTTGATTTTCATAACGTTATCATAGAAGACCAAGCACAATAAATATCAAAGGCATAATTTTTACCACCCCTTTTTAGTATATGGACTGTCACCAAACAAAAATACTGAACAGTCTAAGGCTTCAACCTATGAGAGCTTCTCAATTATCCACAATCATGACAGCAAAATCAGCAAAAAAAATCAGCAAAAAAATCAGGGCCTGTCCTGAACAATTATTTATTTTTTTTCCTCTTCAGGATTTCAAACTTAAAAGGTTAAGTTTATTTCTAAAGTGTAGAAATAAACTTAAGAAATAAATTGAAATAAACTACTAAGAGTGCCTTTTCTGAAATGTTCAGAGATCTGAGATGTTCAGAAATCACTCCAGGCTAGACTGAAAGTGAAATTAAGTGTAGTATTGTACACCTAGGCTTTTACTCCATAAGAAGACACACATAAATGAATTACATCCTGAGCTCCATTTCACCTCTTATATACACTAAAAGACAACAGCACTTTAGGCATATATTTGTTTTGCTATTTTTTTACCTCCAAAGAAATATTTTTCTCCTGTCTTGACTTGTAGAGGGCTGTTAGTTCGAACAGCTGAAGCTTCATCGCCATCAATGGTGAGGACAGCAAAATTTTCCTTAGCCAGGAATCGAACTTCATGCCACTGCCCATCATTGAGACCAGAGCCTATGAAGAACAAAAAAAACCATTGCAACATTTTACTTATTCCAATATTAATTATCTATAAGTGTTTTGTGTGTCTCTTTCTTTTGTGTGGCTCATTATGTAAGGTTTACTAAAGGTTACTGCAGAAATGCAATCATTTTAGTGGGATAATGAGGTATTGCTACTAAAGTGACAGTTACAAAGAAATCCACATTATATCATAAATACAAGTCTTGGAACTACTGAAGTGTCCATGCTCACAGGCATAACAGTATCTAACCTTCCCTATCAAAAGGTCATATTCTACATTGTCCTAATAAAGAATATGTCTTAATTGTCTCCATGATTAAGCTCTGAAGGAAAAGATATTGATTCATCCATTTAACTATAGTGAGTAAGCATGCCAAAGGGCACATTATGTTCATGTTAGGCATATATCGCTTTAGATATTTCCAAGAAAAGGGAAAGGAAAAATCGGAGGGAAAAAGGCTCACGAAGGTGGTGAATTCACAGCTAATGGGGATGTAGGGCTACTCAGAGAAGAGGAAAACAGAGGAAGGCACTATCACAGAGGAACTTCATAACCAGCAAATTTCTGAAAACCCCAAAATCTTACAGGAGCACCGTCCTCCAAATACTGGCAGCAGTGAAGCAGATGGAATTGTTCATTCATTCAGGTCTTTTAAAACCCACAGAATTTATACTTCTAATGTTGTCTCCAGCAGCTGGCAGAAAGCCAGTTTGCCTGGCACATGAAAAACTGCCAAAGAGTGCTGGTTTGTTCTATTCATTTCCCTGCAGACAAGTTATGTTGGGTCAGCAAGTGAGTAGCAAATGCTGTAGTAAAAGCAAACTGCCAAGTGATGGCACCTCCTACAAGCAACATTTTCTCCACCTAGATAAAGTCACCTTAGCAAAATGTCATTTGCCAAAATAAAGCACAATGCAACGTAATAAGATGTTTCTAAAATTAAGTGGAAAGCAAAATGTCAGCAGAAGTATAATGCAACAAAACTTTTCAAAATATTCAAAAGAATGTTACCTTCTATGAATGAAGAACAATAGGCACAGCAAAGAGATACACCTAAAAATTTGATGAATATTTTTTCCTAGTATTTTCACATCTTTGTTTAAAATATGAGATCAAGTTGTGAAATAAAACAGGGTGCTCTTCTCATAATAGTCTCAGAAAATTCATTAATATGAATAAAAGGAGCAGAAGCCTCATGAAAATGTATTAGTAAGAAATCTAATATACCAAATATGAGGGATTTTTTTTCTGTTTGTAAGCTCTTTCTTTATTTTCATTACATTTGAAAAAGAAGAAACTGAAAAAACATATAATTATAACCCAGAAAAAATTAATTTTCACTGATAATAAACTAAGAAAGAAAAATACACAATTTTTCACAGACTTCCAAACCAAAATTGTTACAGCATGTGCTACTACAACTGAAGCTTATCAGAACATACTTAAAACCCCAATTTTCCAGTCTGAGATGACCTAATATTAAAAAGTCGATTTTATATTTTTATCGAGCTATTCAGTATTACCTTGAACTGAATAACAACAACTGGACAAAAATTAAGAATTGGCTATTAAAACATGGGGCACAACAGCAGTGGCATGAGCTGTTCATCACAAGGGGAGGTATATCTAAAACCCTCTCTGGAAAGCGGGATATTGCAGAAACAAGACACAGCAGTATATGAGACAAGAAGGTGCACAGCTGAGCACAGGCAAGCCCCTCAGCCTCAGGCAGGGAGAGGTGAGAGGAAGTGGGTCAGAAACGGCACCGACAGCCCCAAGGGAGAGTGAGAGCAGGGAAGGAAGGGGCTCTGGCCCCCAGAGCAGAGGAACAGCTCGAGAGAGCAGGAGCAGCAGAGTTCTGGTCTTATCCCTGCATCCCCTCCTGTGCTGCTCAGGAACAGGATATAGAAGAGTTGTGACTGAGGAAGCTGAGCTTCAAGAAGAAGGAGGAAGAGAGGTGTTGTTTTAATGATTACCTTTGTTTCTCACTACCTAGATCTATTTTAATTGGCAATGAATTAAATTAATTTTCACAAGCTGAGTCTCTTTTGCTTGCAAATGTAATTGGTACATGAGCTCCCTGTCTTTATTTCATTCCATGAACTTCTCAGTCCTATTTTCTCCCCTTCTCCTGTTGAGGAGTGGGAGTGAGAGACCCCACCATGACAACTGATGGAGTTAGAGACAGATGAATATGCTATGAAATTGGAAATTCATTGCATTTCATATAATAAGGCTAAGTTCACCATCCTTACCTCTTGAGGATACTCCTTCATAAAAGAATGAACTGAAAGTATTAATGAGAAAAGGTTTTTAAGTTAAATAAGGCATGAGATGCAAAATACTTCAGTTATTTTAATCTGTACTTTTGTAGTTTGTGTCTGTACTGTGCTGTGCCCATGTGCAGTGAAGGGAAAACCCCGCAAGCTCACCAGCAGCACGCTGGGAAACTGAACATTACAATGACTCAAGGCAAAAAGCAGGTGGAGGGAAGGTGGATGAGAAGAGCAGGTGGATCTCCTGAGCAGAACAGGAAATGAGAGCATGAGGAGAGCTGCAGGTTAAAAGCAAAAGTGATTTCATGCATTCTCTCTGTGAGCACAGCATTTAGCAAGATATACTAACGGGACACATTGCTGTCTGGAAGCTGCTTGCTAGAGGCATGATTGGAGAAGCACTGTTTTTTTGACTGTATTAAAAATATCTGCCCCTACAAGTTAGCATCATTCCTGTCAGTCCCTGAAAGATGACACTGTTTCTGCTTTATGAACTCTTCAGTGTATTGATACAAAATAATCATAAATTAAGGCTGTTTACTTAGCTAGAGGTATTACCCATCCTCATGGATCTTTGCAGTATGACAGTAATATTCCCAACTGTTCTGGCTCAAAGTTGTCTCAAAAATTCTTGTACAATTTTATTTTTGCTTAGAAAACTTACTGGTACATTTTGTCTTGTGGAGTTTACTGATGAATGCTAATGAGGATTGTTCGTTACTACTCAGCAAATATTCACTATTGTCTTTACAGAATTGTGCTCCCCAGTCAAAGCACTAAAAGCACCTTTTATCTCTGCCACTGTTTTTATCTGATTTGTGTCAGGAACTTAAATTATTATTGGGATATATATATAAATATATATATATATATACACACATACATATATATATATAATAGGGGACAAATTTGCATAGCTGCATGACCTGTTTCTATTGTAATATTTCATTACAACCCTCATGTATATAAGGATTATTTTTGCTTGCTGAGATCTTTCTCTAAACCAAGACACATTAGTAAGAGTAGATCATGTCTCCTTACAATAAAAGAATTTTCAGCTGGAAAGTTTAGGATGACCTACATCCCAAATGCACAATGTTCGTTTCTCATTGCAGTTTAATTTCCTCATCTGAGCTGATACATATATTTATTTGCATTCCTTTTCTTCTTACTCTTTTTTTGTATGCAAGTTGAGAGAAAAAAAAAAAAAGAAATACATATTGCTGCCACCACAAATTCCCTACTGAGCTCTGGAAAAGAGGGTTTCATATGCAAATTAAATATCTTAATGAAATGCATTCTCTCTATGTAGGTTTTCTATTTAAATGACATTATTTTAAAAGTAGGACTCTTGAGTTAGGCACTTTGATTGAACAAGAAGAAACAGATGTTTTGCTTATTACAGACATGGAAGAAGAACTAGATTAACGAATACTAAAAATGTACAAGGGTTTAATACATAATGGAGAACTCAGAAAGATAACATCTGGTTGAGTTTTGCCTCAGGGAAAACTATAGTAGCAAAAGTCTCAAATTCTTTTATGGATAACCTTGTGTGATCAAATCTTCCTTTAAAAGGTACTGACCCATGCAGTGGCTACCAAAGAGTGCTAGCTTATACAATCTGCTGATGTACATGGACAAAATTCTTCTGAAGTAACACCATAACATCTGCCACATCAGAACAGAACCTTGTCTTAATTTTGATATAGGACTGTAACCCAAAATTCAGTTTAAATGTAAAGAAGAAAACAAGGAAAGAATATTATCATTATCTCCATGAAGCACTGGAGCAATGCAAGGCTATGCAGCTGCCTATGGGTTGTTAGTTCCCATTGCTGTAGTAAATATTTTGTATTGTAATTTCTTGCATATTCTACTAGGAGATGAAGCCCTCAATACTCAATACTGAAGACAGAGTGAAAGGTTTGTTTGTTACTGCTTTCATTTTAGGCAGACAGAACCATGTTTCAGGATGGTGATGTAATTGTTATTCCTGTTGTACCTCACCAACTCAGTACAATTTTGCACTAGTATTTCTGACTATAAGAAAAAAAGCCAACAATATTTTGTTTGAAACATTCAGCTGTGTTCAAATATACAGCAGTATATGCCATGAATATTCAATCAGTAAAAGATAAAATATAATCACCAGATGTAATTACATGATCTGTGCTTTTTCAGTATTTTGTACATTGTCATTTTAAACTGGAAAAGCAAAATCACAGCTCCACCTAAAATAATATTTTAGATAGTTTCTTCAATAAGCCATCTAAGTATGCAATCTGTTTTAGGACTTTTGATTCAGAAAATATATTTTTATTTTAATTTTTATTCATTTTTTGGCCATCCTGATGAGCAGTAAGATAAGACAGTGTAAAATGCAGTCCTTGAAGGTATTTTGATGATGGAAAACCTTGTTTTCCAACAGAAACAAAACAGCCAGGTTAAATTTTGTCCTCATGTTTAAGCTCAGAGTTCTTTTTTAAGTTGAGTAGTTGGAGAAATGTTCCAATTTTGCCTGTTGGTGATATCTAATTTATACTGTTTTTGCTCTGCAAGTTAATACCAGAAAATAAAAAATGAGAATTCAGCTTTATATGCATGTCTAGCCTTGTATGTGTAGGATGCATTTTTGAAAGGGTGGGTAATTTTCTTGTTTCTACAGTTAATACTGTTGTGTGGGAAACAGAAAATATAACAATTATATAAAT